CATGATTTTGTGATTGAGAATGCTCCAAATGATGGTGTCCTCTCGAAATATACGCCATGAATTTTAGGGAATTAAAAAGACAGTCGCTTTAAAAGTATTTTACTGCCATATCCAAAATCTAAGTCGCCTACTCAAACAGAATAATAATATAATCAACATTAAGGAGCTATGGTACCCAATCAAAGTATATACTCACATACAATCCATGTCGTGTTTATTTGCTTGACGGAAAAGCGACAGAATATCGTTTGTAATTCAGCAGATCTCTTTCATCAACTTTGATTAGCTTACAACCAGCTTTTTTGCGTGAACGTCACGTTCAATCAGTTTTGTGCACTAGTCCAACGCACATACTGCTGGAAAAACGTGAGAGCATTGTATGAATTACCAAGCAAAATCTTATTTATTATATCTACCTTTCTACTTTGTAGAAATGTTTTAGGAGAAATTACGAGCTTACGCCTCGATTTCAGTAGACAGTTCAGGGATGTGTACATTGCTTACATTTAAATCAAGTGAAGCAATTAATGGAAACCTTTCCGTTTATTTTGACAGTTTTTACCATATCGGTTAGTGTGGGTTACTTGCCTGACATCGGTATACTTGAGCGTCAATGCACGCAGCAACTAGAACATTTGGGACCATCAAATGATATATAAACAGTGTTTTAGGTAGTTTCATCCCCAGTTACAGATAACATTCCATAAAATGTGGTTGGATCGGTGATGCGTTATCTGTTTATCCCCTGATAAGAGTAATCAGTCAACTGTACAGCTGGTGCGGTTGATCACTTTCCTATAAATGCAGCAAACATAAACGGGTGCGTGCTTATGACCATTGAAGTAACGGAAGCATAAACACCTACCAGTCACTCGTAAGGAGAAAATATTTTAATATGTATGTAATGAGGAAGGGAACTAGCAGATTTCACATAAAGACCTACTCATCGTTAGAACAAATATGCGAATCAGCGAACCAGTGGATTTAGTTTAACTACAAAAACAGTGACAACAGGATAGCTCTCACCCTTCGCAAACTGCAAACACACATTTCAGTCACGTTAAACTGTCTAATTAAACGAAAAACCCGTCTTTTCAATGGTGCGGGTATTATGCAGCGAAACTATAAATCACCAGCTGTATTAAATTGCGCACCATTGGCTAAGTGAAGAGAAAAATGTAAGTACCCAATAAGATTTGGGGTTATATAACAGGACTGTTAGCAATTAGAATTCAGACCAACAGTTAAAATAAAGCAGTAAAATTTCAGGTATCATCCTGAGAAGAATTGCAGTTTTTTAAGTGCTGAACTTAAAATCCAAATGAAGTCCGGTATTACAACCAAATGGGTACAATTTACTGTTCACTAATCTTCTACGTTTTGAATATCCCGATAAAATTGAGAAAAAGTACATGCATACATTAAGTACGATTATGAAACTTGATATATTGTTATTTAAATCGGTTGAGGAATGCTGAGAAGCAGAGCGTGTTTAATATGGATGTAATGGTTAGAGAGAAATAGATACCAGTCATTGCTCTGATAAATGTACACATTATTTGAGATAAAATCGGCCTTTCCTAAATAAGAATGATAATCAAGATAATCGACGGTCCAAAAAATATTCGAAACAAATTTGGCGGGGGAATGCAACAGCATTCACGATAAGGTTTGCTGGCTTTTTTATATGTAGCATGTTTTCATAAGTTACAGTTTCGGGATCTACTGTTTATTGTTCCGTGCAGCAAATGTGAACAATGCAAATGCCGAAATATTCACTTTAGAACGCACCTGTCTGAAACTTGTTCACGAGTCTGCGAAGAAGCCGATTACAAACAAATTTGGCGAGTTTTGGTGGCCGTTCATAACGCAAAATTTTGAAAATCGGTGGGGATTTTTACTTTAAATTCTGTATCCCGCCGTTGCATTTTAAATAAATTAATATTAATAAATGGTATATTCCTCGGTGATTCGAGGTGCAGTCCAACTATGTGGTCTGATCAATGTGTACAACAGGATCGCAAAAAAATAATCAATTTGTTCACGCTTTTTACAATGGATCCAAAACAGATACTAAACTAATTGGCAGGATTAAGGTATTAAAGAAATTAGAAACCAAGAACAATAATGTAAGCAGGATTTAAACAGATGTCCAGTTAAAGTAATACGGCCACTCCTGGAACCATCCCAGGGAACCTGCTTCCATGCGAGTTATTCCCTCGAAAGGTTTCCCCCGCACTTCCATGCAATAACTGGCCGTGTGCCGGTGTGGCATAGTATCATATGAGCCATCCCCTGTTCACCATATGTTCGGTTTTTTTAGAGCTGCTTTTTTACATTTATTAAGGGCCATGAAGCCTCAGCCCAGTCCGTCATGCGGATCATTCTATTACGGCACTTTTTTATACGCCAGTCAATTGGTGGTAATTTGCCTTGCATAGGTAACGTTTTTTATAATCTGGAAGCTGTAATCCGTCACCACAGGAGAACAGCCCAGTCGTGGCCAACTATGAAATAAGGAAGAATACAGAAAAGAGAAATTATGTGAAAACCATATCGTTAATGGAAAAAATAGGCGGGTATGTTTTTTTACGTCGGCGTAGAAATGGATCGAGCCGATCATACGATAAATGGTGTGGCGTGACAGCCGGAGACAGATGACTGTACGAGTTGTCCATAGGCAAAAGTCGCATGGGGAATCAGTTATTGCCATCAATGAATTCAAGTATATGTTTCTGGACTGTTAACTTCAGAAAAGAAGAGGAAATGATTAGCACTGGAGAAAAAATGTAGCGAAAGGGATCGCAGAACAATATTACGAATTAATCAATTTGTGGGGAAAATTACGAAAATAGTTCCTGACGTCACACCAGTAAATAATTTTGATCTCGATTTGAAACAGAAGACAGTTGGTATGAATTAAGTTTGAAGGGAATAAAACCGCATGGGAGGTAGCGTTAAGGAATAGCATAAGAAGCGGTTTGTAGTAGCTCATCCTAGCTGATCATGTTTTCTCTGGTGCATTCGAGTCGATGTTCTCCGGTATCATACATGATCCGGCCCTTCTCCATACAGCTTTTCATCATCAAGTTGAATTTTTAAGATCCATTTCGCTCTGTCCGTTGACAGATAAGCCTTTATCATTTTCTTGAACATGCAGAAATGTTCAATACATCTAATCTCTTTAGGCAGCTTATTCCAAATGTAGCCATACCTAAGAAGATAGAAATTTCTCCTTAGACTGCACTTGAATTTAGGTAAATAAAATATGCATTCATTATCTCGCAGTTCATAAATGGTGTTTTCCCGAAAGTGCAATTGATAGGTTCCAGTATATGCTTTCCGCCACGCGAGTTTGTGGAGGAAGCACAGGTTTAATTGCATTCTTCTTAACCACAGAGGTTCAAGATTCAACTGCTTGCACCTGTCTCGGTATGAAAGAGCGGTTGAGCAGCCAAATATGCGCTTCGTAAAGGCGCGTTGGACGTTTTCAATGGCTCTCAAGTCAGCCTTTCGCAAGTTACTGAACACGGCACAGCAATATTCAAGCAAAGGCCAGATATTGATTTTGAATGCAATTAGTCTGGTTTATTTCAAGGTTGGCAGGTGGCAGATGAGCCCGACCGACTGCTTAGCCTTCTTCACGATATGATTTGTATGTTCGCTAAAGTTTAACGAACTAGAATATCTTAAACCTAAGTCACGAACAGACTGGCTAATGGGAATGACTTCATCATGAGGCCTGAACACTTCTGCTGCTATCTGACATCCATACGATAGAATACTACACTTCGATGTTGCAAATGTCATCTGCCACATATCAGCCCATCTCTCAATAGCTTTCAAGTCGCTTTGGATATTGTTAACTTCAGCGGTACGCTGAGAACCTGGAAACGTGTAAACCACTTTTAAATCATCAGCGAACAAATAAGGCTTTTCAAATTGTAAAACAGAAACCAGGTCATTTATATACAGTAGGAAGAGTAAGGGGCCTAAGACACTGCCCTGTACCACTCCACTGGTAACCGGACGAGGTGAAGAGATGCAACCATTGATATCCACAAATTGCGACCGTCCTACTAGGTAAGATTGGATCCAAGAGTAAAGCGAATTTGTAACAACGTACTTACTTAACTTATATAACAGCTTTTTGTGTGGGACTTTGTCAAAAGCCTTTTGCATGTCGAGGAAGATGACAATGCACTGAAGACCTGAGTCAATTGCTTCAGTTAGATTGTTAAGGAAGTCAACTTGACAGGTAACACACGAGCGAGACTTCAGAAAGCCATGCTGTGAATGTGAGAGAAGTTTGTGCGATATTAGGAACGAAACCAAATGTTCCTTAACAATTCTCTCTAGCATGCGTGAGAGAATGGCTGCGTGAATAATGGGGCGGTAGTTCTGGATTTCAGTTTTCGACCCGGATTTATGTCGCGGTATAACCGTGGCCGTTTTCCAACTTTCGGGATATTGACCAGACTGGAGAGACAAAGAGAAGATATTTAATACTATAAGAGGGATGTCATCTCCACCGTGTTTGATCAAAGCAGAAGAGATCCCATCGGGGCCAGGTCTGTAGGATGGTCGTAGACAAGTAATCATACGTTTTATCGTAGCAACACTAAGCTCGATCGCTGGGACTTGTTCAGAGAAGTGAAACGTGGTTGACAAATCCAGGGTTTCTTTTTCAACATTAAAGGATCTAGCAAAGTATGAGTTAAAGGCTTCCGCCATGGCAATGGGAGAATCAATGCATTCACCTTCAGATATGACGATGTGGGATGGTAGGCCAGTTTTGCCACCTACACTTTTCCTCAGTAATGCAGTCACCATTTGACTTGTATACTGAATACTGAATACTGTATTATAGAGCAAGTAGAAATGGATTCTGTACAACTCTTTCGAAATATTTTGAAAAACGTTGTAATAGTTGTCAACCGTGAATATCCTTGTCGTTCTCATGTAATATTTAAAATATTCGACTTACGATGTTTCAGGATTCACAAATGTGATATGTCATCGTAAGTATGCAGTCGTTCTCTGAATCGAATCGAGACAAAATGCAAATCTAACAACGTTTTGAACTGCTGCACAGATGTTGCCTCAATCACATGTTCGGGCAAACTAGTTCCAATGTTTACCACTCTCCGTTCGGAGCACAGTGGGTGGGGAACACGTTTCATATCCGGCACCACAGGTTTATATCTGTGTCCGCGTGTGCTGCATGGCCCTCGTAAGTGCAATAGTGGCCTTAGCATGGGGAACTCACCAAGACGTAGAATTCGGTAGGTCATAATGAGGTCGACTCGCACCCGACGGTAGGACAAGGTGTAGAGTCCTAGTTTCTCGCACCGGTCTTCATACCCAAAGCCACGTAAACTCGGGATCAGCCTGGTAGCAACGTGTTGGACCCGTTCGATCTTTTGTGCCTCGCCTCGGGTAATCGGAAAGTAGGCGGGCGAACCGTACTCTAGCATTGGTCTAATGATAGAAGTGAACAGGCGAGTGGCAACCTCTTCAGACCATGTGCCGAAGCTACGTTTGAGCGCCCAAAGCATGCGCAGTCCGTTCCGATATAGCCTGTTCGTGTTGTCCACGGACTTCAAATCGTAGCGTGAGAGTACACCTAGGTCCTTCACGGAGGGTGTGGGATATAGCGTTTGGCCGTCAATTGTGTAGGTTCGGCCGTCTGCACCCTTCCCCAGGCTCATAAATACCGACTTGGCTGGGTTGACCGGGAGAAGAACTTCTGCAGACCATGTGGATAAGCGGTTGAGATCTTGCTGAAGTAGGCCACAGTCGTCGGGAGCGTCGATTTCTCTCCAAATCTTCATGTCGTCCGCAAACAAGGCACACGGCGACCGGAGACGCTGCGGTAGCTCGTTGATGTGGATCAGGAACAAAGTGGGCCCCAGCACAGTGCCTTGAGGCACGCCACTTGTAGAGGGGTACCAGTCAGTTAGATGGTCGTCGACCTGTACCCTCCACTTTCGTCCAACAAGAAAGTCGTGGATCCACCGGTGCAGTGAGCCACCGACGCCACACATGCTGAGTTTGTGAAGGAGAACCTCATGATTGACCTTGTCGAACGCTTTAATGAAATCGATGAATATCACGTCGACGGACTTCCCCTTGTTTATTGCCTTCAACCACTCAGGCCTCGTCACAAGCAGGTTAGTAATGCATGAGCGACCTTGCATAAAACCGTGCTGTGCGGGCGTCAGGACCTCGTTTGACTGTAGCAACTGCAGCAATCTCTTCTTCACGATTTTCTCAGCAACCTTTGCCAATATAGGTGTCAGACAAATTGGCCTGTAATTGTCTACATTGCTAGGGTCGCCGCCTTTTGGAATAGGCTTCACCACCGCACATTTCCAGTTAACCGGCAACAAACCTTCGGAGAGCGACCTGTTGAAAAGGTCAGTCACGATAGGAGAGAGGATGGTTGAAATTGACTTGAGAACCAGTGGGTGAAGCCCATCAGGTCCGGCAGGTTTGGTGCCGCCAAGGTTGGCGAGTAGTTGAGCTACCTCTTCGACGCCGCAATGCAGACTATCGAGTTCGGTAAAAGCGGTACACGTCAAACTAGGAACAGACACCTGGTTATTCGCAAATACAGAAGCGAAGTGCGCCGCCACCGCGGACGCACGCTCAGTGCTGGAGGTTAGGGGCTGTCCATCCGTGCCATCCAGCACTAGCACATCGCCCGCCGGCTTCAGGCGTCGCTTCACGTATGCAAAGATTCTCTTTGGGGCGGTCTTCGCGGCTAATGCGAGCTGCTCTTCAAAGTGTCGGCGTTTATTCTTTTTTGCACTGTTGCAGAGATTCCGCTGACATTTATACCCTTCGTAATCATTGGCAGAGCCCGTTGTTCTTCCTGCATGAGACGAGTTCGATGTTTCGTGTCCGTCTCAATTATAAGGCGTTGGAGTCTCAATAGTACACTAAAGTCATGAGTCCGTTCAAATGTTCGAGTTAACACTCGTATTTTCCGCTTTTCCTTTGCGTTGTTAGCGTACTTAGAGGAGGCTTTCTTATTTTCACAGGAGGAAAGTGTGCTTAAGCACATAGCCACATTGTCATAAAAAATATCGGATGCTCTCTTAATATCAGACGATAGAAAGAAATGGTCCCAATTTTGGACCCTAAGCAGAGTTGAGAAATATACCCAATTAACATTCCGCAGGAAATGTGTGGAACGATCGCAAACCTCACATGCGACGACTCAGATATAAGTTTACATCTGACTATTTTGGGATCACATCCAGCGAGACCGTCAATTACATCAGTAGCTATCTGGGAGGTGCCTGAGGTAAAAAGTAGGTCTAATATATTTTTTCCCCTGGTAGCGACTAGAACATGTTGCTCCCAACCACCAGTGATGACGGAGGTTATGAACTCGGCATGTTTCGCGTTTGTTACTAAGTTTGACCGACATATATCTGGTAGATTGAAATCTCCACCTACAACTTTATCGAAGGAACAAAGGTCCGACAGGTAATTGAAGATGTCAACCAACTGGTTCTCATCACTGAAGCTGGCCCCAGGTGAGCGGTATATACAGCCTACAAGAGTTCGCTTAGTACCGAAGGACAAGAGTAACCAAGCGGAATCAATATTGGGGCATATAAGTGGAAGTGTGAATTCTGACACAGTGAGGTTCTGTGAGTAGTAAATTATGCAACCACCTCCTCTGCTTTGTTTTCGATCACTTCTAATAAGTTTATAACCTTCGATAGAAAACAGCTGGCTAGGTATAGAATCATGACACCAGGTTTCAGTGAGTAAAATCATATCAGTTTTATTCATACTTATGAAGGTGCGGAGTAAATGAAGTTTATTCAACAGAGAACGGATATTAATTATCATCAGTTTTATAAACTCCTGGCATTGTTCATGACTCCGTCCAGTATTTATTCTTGCAATCACATTAGTTCTAGAGCCTTCCGCAGCAAATCCCTTACCGTGAGGTTCGCCCGTCCTATCGGGATTAGAGGGGGTGGGGGAATGCAAAAAGAATGCTGTGGTAATTTGGGGCGATCAAGTTTAATTGGGTAGGGTGTTATTGCCGAAGGGCTCACAGAAGGCATTGTGAGAGGAGGAGGAGGGAGAAAGTATGGATGGGGGCATAAATAAGTGGTCTGCGTTTCAGCAAAGCCATGTACAGGCCTGCCAGGAGAACAGCCTTGGCACATCGCCGGAACAATGGTGAATTGTGGCTTGCCACCCTGTGCAGCTGCATTATTATTCACGACTGTCATTGGGGCACGGGGAGTCAACTTTCCAGCACGAAGGCCCCTTTTGATCTAAGACGCTTAGGGCGCGTACCATGACCACTGCTGCTATGTGTATTCACAATGTCAATGGGCCGTAACGTACCTTCACTGGAGCAATCGACAGTCCCATTTGATGTTTTTGGACTTGTATCTGTTTCAATAATGGTGTGGGGATTGATCCCAATCCCTACTGGTTTGTCAGAACGTGGTGCATCGAGTGAAGCTACACTATTTTATATGTCCACAAGACTAATGTGGTGTGGAGACGTGAGCATCTCAAGTTCCGCTACGTCGTCGCCAGTCTTAGCATCGCTTGTGTGGAGAGTGGCCTTGCTAACATTATCTGCCTTTTTAGAAGGGGAGAACGAAACACTGTTGAATGATCTCCTTCTTTGCAATTCAGGAAGCGCGCAGGGAGGATGACTCTGCTTCGGCTCAGGCGAGACATTAGTTGCACTCATGCGTTGAAGCTCACGTTGCAAGGGTGACCTGTCAACGAATAGAATAACTTTGCAAAATATCGGGACAGATCTTAAAGTATTTTGACTTTTGATAAACGAACTTGCGAGACTTTCGCTACGAAAGCTGAACATAGTTGGACAAGGAAAACGTAACGATGTTTTCCTCAGTCTTCAACATTTAATATCGGTTTCAGCGATGTTGCACGCCCTCGAAACAGAGCGCCTAATGTTGTCAATCGCGATATTGTCCGCTATATTGAGGGCGATGACGTTTCTTCCCCTTCTGCATCTTTGAGTAACCTCAGAGGCAATTGCATTTAGGAAGTTTAAGGCTCCAATTTTGTGCTTTTGCGCTGGATTAGCCGGAGACTGAATTATGTATGAATCTGACATAAGCATATCTCCGAATGAGCCAAAAAACTTTAGTTCCTCATTTGGTTCCTCGAACTGTTTCTCCAACGTCTTTATTTTGGCTGACAGTGGAGATATAAGGTCGACAACACTAACCGAACTTTCTGTCATTTGTTCTTTGGACTTATTTAACTGCTCTTGTATCTCAGGTGCCTCGGAATGTGTGCAACAGGACACAGGTTCCTCGACACTCGTGACGGCAACATTTTTTACCGTAATTATTCGGTTTTTCACACGCTTTTTCCTCATTGCACGAGTGTGAATGGCTGTCATCAAATTTTGAAATGAGAAGATAAAAGCTATATATAGTACATGCTATAGCCAAGCTTGAATCCTGGAGTAACAAAGGTCGCTAAGGTCCAGTGATTACCTATTCAAGTCAACAACAGGTCACTGTTACAGATGCAACAATGATACAAACCAACCGGATGTAAGAGTGCTCCGTTGTCCAAATTCCGCCAAGGGTAGACTGTCCGTCAGTGATCGACCGTTCAGTGAACAGGTATCCCTGAGGTCAACTCCGTGTGTCACGTTATGCCGCAGGTTCCAACAGGCGCACACACACAAATCCGGCCAAACAAAGAGATCTGTGTGCGTTCGATAGAACGCGATTCACAATGCGGCGTGAGAGCTCTTGGTCAACCAAGGCAGTGTATGAAGATGGAATTGCCTCTAGTCGCCTTACTCAGCTACCGACAGGGTTGGTTTAGGTCTCCTGAAGTATACCTAGCAATAAGCTTTCCGATAATTCCAAAAACCTTGATGAAGGTAGAAATGTGGTGCACTCGTAGGCGAACGACAACGCTGAAACACAGCCAGAATTGAAAACCGGCGTTAGACGTTGATGCGTTAATAGTAGCCTAGAGAAAGTTTGCGCAATGGGTAGACCAGATCGGGCCCGATTGAATGAGTGTACCCAGGCCGATGTGCGAAAACATTTGAACCTGAAATCTTGAAAAGTCAGGAGCAATGAAAATTTTCTGACCAGCTGCCTAAGGCATCTATGGATACCTTGCCCAAAGTTTTAGCTCCCAGCAAATTTCTACTTATTTACAGTGGTTGCTCCTCTAAGACCTGTCTGCGAATCACGCCCAGCCCGTGGGTTTTCTGCTTGGACGAGTGGACTACGAATAAACTATTCGACCCTCATTACTCTGAGCCCTATTCCATCCAGTACCGCCGGTTCCAACCGTTACTGGTGTATCCAGAGTAAGTCTCGCTCAGCTGAGGAAAAAACGGGTGCACATTATTTTACTGTTCTTACATCGGATGTCTTTTCACTCAGTTTTGCCGTTATATGGACAGCAACCTGTTATTTTGAATTAATTAACAAAGGAAAACCGTAACTAATACATTGTCAGATGCACTGCAAACATTTAAATAAACCACCTTTTGTAGAAAAAGGGCTTCTTGTAACCCGCAGAATTTTACTGAGGTACTAGCCGAAAGGCTGCATACGATAAGTTTGCATAAAGTTTCATCTGCATTTTTGATTTACACAGTCATCAGTTTGCAGAAGAGAATTGCCATCTATCAAATATACTTAATTTAATATCACTTTGATGTACGAATGATTCTTAACTACTTGCTAAAATATATTATACAACAACTATCGCTGATAAAGAGAGTTAGACTTTGTCAACACTAATGATCATATTTTCAATAATGTAATTACACCCACAAAATAAAATGTATGAAAATGAAACGCTTTACAAGGGAGGCGGTAACAAGTTGCTCTATACCTGGCAACGAAAGCATTTGAAAATAAATTTCGTTAATATTACTATATTATCACCAACATACCCCTATTTTGCATTTAATGCCCAAGATGTTATCGATAATATAGGTATTTTACATTTGACCTGCAACTCTGCATGCATCTGGCTCAACCTGGCTTGGTGAGTCACATTACGATCCCATATGATGTCAGCATGACCCAATTGTAAGCATACGGCTTATGGATGGTAAACAGTATGATTCACATATTTCCGGATGTTCCTTGAAGCGCATGACGGACAAAAATAAATGGAACAATTATCACACTGAGAGTGG